TGTGTTAGCCTTTTTGAGTTTGTCATCATAACGTCATAAATCTTGTGATTGACATTTATGGAAAACGGAAAATGGGAAATAGTAAAAATCAACAACAACATTGAATTTTGCCTTCATTTTGCTTATGAATACAAAAAAAGACGTGTGTGCTACGCGAACACACAAAAGCCATTGCAATGAAAGAACAGAAGATGAAGGGTATGATATCAAGAATGTCATTGATATTCCAAGTATTGTATGTTCTAAAGTATGAGAGTTAAGAAGGTCTTCAGATGGAGGGAGGAGAGAATAATGACTGTGTGTTGATTACGCAGCAATTTCATTATACGTTGGGTTTTTTTTTATATCATTGGCTGGAGCCAAAGCTCTCATTCACACACAACAGACCTACCCAACCCAAATAACTATTATGCTTCAACGTAAAAGTTGGTCTTAATTTTTTTCTATGCCTTACCCACAAAGTGGTGGCGGCGCCGGTATTTCTTTTGTTGTTCGGATTTTTTTTCTGTTGTAAGATTTATGATTGTGATTTTCCCTTTTCTGTTTTGGTATTTTTTCCAAATGGTATAACTTACACAAAGGCATAAAACTGATTGAATGAATCGTTGGTCACACTCCTTTGTTTAGTTTTTATGAAATAGTTTGGCATGCACAGTGGTGTCGAAGACGGACAATGCCAAAACATAGATGTACAATGTTAATTTTATGGCACAAAAAACCGCAATACAGTCATTTCGATGGGGAAATTTACCTAGAACCATACAGGTGCAAGATTTATATTCTGCAAATATATTTGTAACCCTTCAAAAACCAGGAACGCAAAATCACAGTCATTTCTATTTGAAAATTCAATTGACAATTGCGTCAACCCAAAATTGAATTGGAAATGATTTCCGATCAAAATTAAATCTTACAGTTCTCTGATGAAACCTGTAGAATTTTTCTTTCGCTTTATTTCAGAAGATTTCACCACTTCCATTTAATTTTTATTTCCACTTCGGACCACTATGCTGTGGTATTGAAGAAAAGAGGAACCACATAAAATAACAAATCGTTTTGTTATCAAATACATATCAATTGGTAATTTATAAAATTCTATTTCTCTTGTTGATATATTTTCATATATACATACACACACACTTTTTTTGGCAGACGTCACGTTATTTGGACACAACTGATTAATGACCATATAACACCAGCTGATGTCCGAAAACGTGCTGAAACTAATGATAGACAATAAAAGAATATCAAAGTCATAATCGTTTGTTTAGCCAAAATGGTTTTTGTCCATGATTAATTGATTTAACAATTCTATTTTTTATACATTTCATTCCAACAAAAAAAAAAATCGAATTGTTTAACGATTTTTTTTTTGTTGGAATGATTGGTATATTATTTGAGGTTATCATTTAATTATAGTTTTAATGCAACAGCTCGTAAATGCAGAGCAATGAAATACATTTAACCCTTTGAGCCCAATATCAACAAAGTCAAATGCAGAATCGACGAAAAAATCAATATAGATTATTCTCTATATTCTGTTTTACAAGAATCAAAAATAATTCCGATAACAGAATTCGTACATTTCAAATACGAAGCGATTTAAATAATTTGGACTGTATACATAAATTAGTACTGTACACATTTTTGGCCTCTTCTCTGTATTAAAAGGCTCATAACTTTACCAAAAATTTGAAATTTTTAGATTTTTCAGGTCAGGTCTTGACATAGGAAATCCAAAGAATGAATATCTACTAGCTGTATAATAAATATAAGCTCTAAAACATTTTGTTGCCTGTGGGCAACATTGGGCCACAAAGGGTTAACGAGTATTATCCATACGAGAAATTCAAACAAGTATTGAATTAATAAGCCTACCGACATCAGTGTCATACTATCCTAAAGCATGGGAAAGCTTGTTGGCAAGGTTTGAGATCTTCGGGTGATTGAGAGGAGTTTTCTGCAGCCGCTATATTCTGCTGGAGGAATATCAGAAGTACGACCAAAGTTCCTAGCAGTGGTATTTGCCAATGAACGTCAGCAGCTTTGTGATATGACCCTGATACCCAAGGGTGAGTGAGCTTATTTTTGACGTTAACAGGCTAATATGCAAGCATATAAGGTAAAAGTGACTAGATCACCTAAAGCAATACAACATTGTGATTGGAACAAGTAAATTGTTGGCAGCGATTAAGTGACAGTGATAGGAAGAGCGGTTGTCACAATTAACGTACCAAAACCAGTAAGGAAAGTTCAAAAGACAGGGCCGACTATATTATACCCTGTACAATATCCTGTATATGTCTATTCATAGCATCTTTGAAGGACCATTGAAATGGAATCGGACGAAATCAACTGCGTACATAGATATTGGACAAACTTTAGTTACTTGGTATAACATTTTGATGAAATCGGATAAAAATATATATGGAAGATATATCTAAACCTGAAAGGTCTTCAATCCAATATTTCATGCAAAGCGAGCAGACATAGGCTCCTCCATTTGCATAAAATGGGACAAAAATATATGAGGTAGCTATAACTACATCTGAACCGATTTCAGCAACAAAATATCGTGCAAATATAACAGGGTCTATGGTGCACCATTTACATAAAATGGGATTAATGTATATATGTGAGCTATATTTAAATCTGGATTAATTAATGTATATATGCGAGCTATATTTAAACCAAGACCGGGGACGTCAAACTGCAGTAATTTCAGGACGCTGTGCAACATTTTGTCGGGCAAACATTGACAGTATGGTGCACTATTTACATAAAATCGGAGGAAACTATGTATACGAGCTATATCTAAATCTGAACTGTTTCCAACAAAACTTCGCATACATTAATCCAGACCTAATTCAGTACGATGTGCAAACTTTTGTCCCAATGGGACAAATATTGGCAGTAAGGTGCTCCATTTACTTAAAACCGGAGGAAACTATATATGGGAGCTATATCAAAATCTGAGCCGATTTCAACAAACTTTCACGAACATCAATCTGTAGTAATTTCAGTAAGCTATGCAAAATTTTGCCTCAATCGGACAAATATTGGTAGTATGGTGCTCCATTTATATAAAATCGGACGAAACTATATATGGGAGCTATATCTACATCTGAACCGATTTCAACAAAACTTCGCATGCATCTATCAGTACTTAATTCAGTACTCTGTGCAAAATTTTGTCTCAATCGGACCAATATTGGGAGTTTGGTGCACCATTTAGGTAAAATCGGAAGAAAATATATATGGAAGCTATATCTAATCTTAAACGATATTTTAGGTGACATGTGCCAAATTTAATCCAAATCGGATCATAAATTCGACCTGTACTTTGTTAACAAAAATTCATGGAGGGACAGACGGACATGCATAAATCCATAGGTCTATCTCGGTTTCTTTTGCCTGTTACAAACATATGCATAAAGACATAATACCCTGTACCACAGTGTGGTAAAGGGTAAAAAAATGCGGTGTGACCGAAGGTTTATAGAACCGAAGGTTTATAGAGCACCCCGCGATTGACAGAACGAAAAGGTGTGTGCTATGTACCACCCTACGAAGGAAGATGTGGCAAATATTACCAAGAATGCTAAGTCCTTTCATGTTGTGGGCTCGACGGAATTTCTATATTCATACTTCATCAACTGGATGAACCCCGAATCAAGTATATACCATTCATCTCAATTTGTCGTTGACAGCCACATAGTTCCTGAAGCCGGAAAAATAGACAGAGTGGTCCCGCTACTGAAACATGGAAAGCATGCCAACTGAAGTGAATGGTATATATTGATTTCATTGCTATCATCAGAAGGAAAGGAATTCGAGGCGCTACTCCTACCATCGATGAGAAGCAGTTTTCTAGTAGCCCAACATCAACATGGATTTCGTATTACACAAGTAGTAGTAAAGCACTGAAAGAACATTCCCTGGAATCGATTTTGTGTTATTTCCAAAGGAGTGAGTCAGGGATTTCCCAAGGTAGGGAGATTCTCTGTTACAACTTTTACCACCACCTTAAATTCCGACCCGAAATATTGGGTGTAATGTTCGACATCCTTTTCAGTTCGTCTGGTCAAGCCACTGCTATTTGGTCGGCAGTCAAATGTAAGCTATGCGGCGCCAGCATGATTTCTGAGAACAAGAACAAGGTGTCTCATTATGACAACAGTGGTGACTTAGATCACACGCGACCATGCCTTATTAACAGGCTTTCCATATATACTAGGTCAGTACGAAGTTTTGAAACATCACCAATAAAGAGAAGCATAGAACTGTCTTTATCTATGATTCCCTGTCGTTCTGACTGCCCAAATCAAACTGTCTTTATATGTGATTCCCCTTCGTTGTGGTTTCCCGAAATTCTTTTCCTGGTCCTGTTCATAGAACTATTAACCCATCCACAACAAATAATAAATGTCGTACCAAAATATATTCTCCAGTATTTCTTAAATTATTTAATAGGATGTTAGGATCCCCTTAGAAAACACTCATCACAATAAAATAGGTTTTTATTAAGTTAAGTGCAATTTTAGTATTTTCTTTTATTAAATGCTTTTTCTTCTCTTTTTTGATTCCGTTTTTGTATTTATTACCATTTTCAAGTAGCATGTTTTCCCACCATAAGCAGCATTTCTTAAAAAATATCACTTAAAACCGAAGGAGGGGAAAGTGAAAGAAAGTGCCATTAAGTACCACAACCACACTACGACACTTTCCTTTATTGAGAAAACATGCATTACACGAGGACACTTACGCCAACATTCATACAGAAGGCAAGAATACTGGCACTACTGGCACTGGAAGCTGCATGGTCTCCATTTGACATAGAGTTTAGGCACCAAAACAACAGCTAGCGTCAGCAACGCGATATGCAGCCATATCGCAGCTCCAGCCCAAAAAAAAGTCCCATCAAACATCAAGTAGTTGACGATGGCAACGATGAATATCTTCGTATTATTGTCGTTGTTGTAGTTGAGTGGATATTTCACTTGTAATTTCATCATGTTTCCGTTCACTTTGGTATCGTCATTATTATTCGTGTAGTTGTCCTTTAGCTGTTGCCGCTGTTGCTTGTCATTGGCTTTTTGAGCTTCTTTATGGGGTTTCTTCTGTTTCCTCTGTATTTTTCTCATTGCTGCTTCTCATGTAAAGATTCAGAGCTTTGTTGTATGTTGTTTCAGTTGCTTTTATCTGCCAAAAATGGTTTAAGGGCCGTATATTTGCCGGACTAGCTTTTCACAAAGTTTTCAGATTCGTCTAATTTTGCATTTCTCTTTGCTACTGCTTTTTCTTAGCTCTTAGACAGGGGATTGGTTTGATATGTTTGGTTGCTGAAATGGGCTATGTGTCAGGAAGAGGGTAAAATTGTGTCAGTCCGTTTGTAATCTTAACATTTTTGTCCGTGTTCCTATAGAGAAAAATTAAAGTTGAACCAAAACAAAAGGTGTAACATAATAAAACTTAAAACAAGGTCATAACATAGATTTTATACGTTTCAATTCGTCCTTGGTCAACCAATAGCATGCATCATTCTAGTCTAGAATGATGCATGCTAAATTTCGTGAAAATCGGTTCAGATTTAGATAAAGCTCCCATATACATTTTCCACCGATTTTATCTAAATGCTACACTAAAGATGTAAAATATTTCTCCGATAGCGATAAAACTTTGCACAGGGTACTTTTGCACCCAGTGGGACACAAAAGTACCTTATTATAGCTGATTAGTTTAAAAAATGAAGAAAAAGCCTTAAAATACCGAATTTTGGGGTACTGCTATATGGGGGTAACGTAAAAAATTGGCCGTTATATCTCATTTTCAATACCGAACCTCCCAGATGTAACATTAATATAAGTTTCTAAATTCAATAGTTTTCTTCTGTTTCCATTAATAAAACCTGTAAGGAAAGTTCAAAAGTCGGATGGAGGACAATACCCTTTACCATTTGGTGTACATACAATAGATGCTCGTATGTACAATATCCTTTTGATAGAATACACATAGCGTCTTAGGGGGACCTTTGTTATGGAATCAGAAGAAATTAACTGCGTACATAGATATTTGAACTAAATTAAAACGACCCATACACATACCAATCTAAAATTTATGGAAAATTTATTGTCAACCATCGAGAAAAAATTGTATAAAATCTTTACATAAAATCGGACGAAACTATATATGGGAGCTATAACTAAATCTTAACCGATTCCAACAAAACTTCACCTATGTCCATTTTTATTAACTTCAATACGGTATGCAAAAGTTGGTCTCAATCGGAAAACATTGACTGTATGGTGCTCCATTTACATAAAATCGGAAGAAACTACATATAAGAGAAGATTTTAAGAAAACTTCGCATACATCAATCCAGAACTAAAACCGTACTCTGTGTCAAATTTTGTCTCAATCGTACCAATACTGGCAATATGATGGTCCACTTACATAAAATCGGACGAAACTATATATGGAAGCTATATTTAAATCTGTCCCGATATTCTGGAAACTTGACGCACGTCGTTTTTGACTCAATTCAATACACTATGCAAAATTTCCTGCAAATCGAAAGATATTTAGGGACTTTGATGCACCATTTATATAAAATCGAACGAAAGTATATCGACGCTTCCGAACCATAGTATGCTAAGTTGACTTAGCATGTTTTAAAGTTCTTTACATTTTTAGATACTACGGTCCTTAATTTAAATTCTCTGAAATTTTGGTAATCATCGGCCAATCCAAACCAAAATTATAAGCAGAAATGTACTTAGCATGGCACGTAAGATATAAGAAACTTCCATACTTTGAGAGCTTCTACTGAAAAACAGATTTAGCATACTATTCTTCGGAGGCGTCGATATATGGGAGCTATATTTATATCTCAACCGATTTTCACAAAATTTTGCACACATAAGTCAGTACCTTATGCCAAATTTCATGCAAATCGAAACCTATATAGGGACTTTTGTGCACCATTTACATAAAATCCGACGAAACTATATATGGGAGATATATCTAAATCTGATCCAATTTTCTCGAAACTCAACACACGTCATTCAAGACTCAGTTCAGTACACTATGCTAAATTTCGTGCAAATCGAAAGATTTTGTTTCACCATTTACATACATTTACGGACGAAACTATATACGGGATCCGATTTTCTTCAATTCCAATAGGGTTCGTACTTGGGCTAAATAAGTTACTTGTGCCAAATTTCATCCAATTTGGATCATAGATGCAATCTGTATTTTCTTTACATTTAACATGGACAGACATACAGACGGACGGACATGCATAAATTGACTACGAAAGTGATTCTATGCATATTCTCAAAGGAAACCGTGAGTCTATTTCGTTTCCTTTTGTCTGTTACAAACATATGCACAAAGACATAACACCCTGTACCACAGTGTGGTGAAGGGTATAAAAGTATCTGACACAGGAATTATTCCACTATATTTTGGATCATTATTCTTAACAATGAATAATTAAGCTATAACCAGCTAATATAACCATAAAAATCCCAAGTTAAGTAATATCATTTGATACCAGCTCTCATCTAAGTGTGATATTAAATCATACGATCCTCGTAAAAATTTTAAGTACATTTTATAGCATTATAGCATATAGCAGATGACATATAACAAAACCATATCATTATCGCAGAAATGACAAAAAGTCATCACTCCATTGACATTTCTATGGTTAATTCATGATTACGTCGAAATGTTGTCTTTAACAAAGACATGCTGTTGTGAAGCAGCTGAAGAAGAATCAGCTGGAAGGCAACATTGCTGGTTGTTTGTCGTGACCTGACTGATTTATGTGCATATTTTTATAAGTTTCCTCTGGTTGCAAAAGTAGTGGTAGGGAGGGAAAATAACAACGTCACAAAAGAAAATACAAGCCAGTGGCTGAATGTAATTGTGTTGCCTTTGTTAGCATCACAAGGAACTGGTTATAAAGAGCAATTGTAACTGTGATTGAGATGCACGCATAATTAACTACCAAACAATCAGTGGTTCAGTTCCTGTGATATCAGAATACTAAGAACGCGTTCCTTTGCGTATATATAGGTATATGTGTGGGTGTGTGAGTGTTTATGGTTATTTTGTCATAAACTATATTCATTGACAGAGAAATCCATTTTCATTGCACTCCAGCTATGAAATGTGTTTTCCAACTTTTATCATTATGGTGCGACACTGAGTGAGCTACGTACATACATGTGGATGTATATATAGGTGATGGTCGGTCATATACAAATACAAACGTACGCTTATTTTTGTTTTGTCGTTAATAAACATGTTGTAAAAGTTTTATAACTTCTTCGCTACCAGCAACAAAAAAAAAAAAAAAAAAAACAGTAAGGAAAATAGTAACATCGGACTGGGCCGACTATATGTTACCCTTCACCACTTTGGGTATATTCTACATATGTCTCCTAACAGACGTCGCATGTTTGTTATACATCTATATCTGAACCGATTTCAGAGAAACTTGCCAGAGACTAATTTATATTACTTCAGTACCTTGTGTCAATCGGCCTAGCTATGGATCTTTTCACGAAGCTTAGCAACATCATTCAGTATCCTATACCAAAATTCGTGCAAATAGAAAGATATATAGTGACTTTGGTGCACCAATTACATAAAATCGGACGAAAATATATATGGGAGCCACATCTAAATCTAAACCAATTTTCACGAAACATAGCACACGTCACTCTACACCTAATTCAGTACGCCATGCAAATCGAATGATTTTCAGAGACTTTGAACCGATTTTCACGAAACTTTGCACACATCATTCTAGACTTAATTCAGTACGCTATGCCAAAATTCATGCAAATGAAAAGATTTCCAGGGACTTTGGTGCACCATTTACTTTAATCGGGTGAAAATGAATGTATGGGAGTATTATCTAAATCTGAACCGATTTTCATGAAACTTAGCACACATTGTTATAGACGCAATTCAGTACGCTATGCCAAATTTCGTGCAAATCGAAAGATTTATAGGGCCTTTGGTGCACCATTTACCTTAAATCGGGCATAAATATATATCGGAGCTATATCTAAATCTGAACCGATTTTTCCCAATTTCAATAGGGCCAAACAAATGATCTGTGCCAAATTTCATCCAATTCTGATTATAAATGCGACCTGTACTTTGTTTACAATTTAACATGGACAGACGGACGGACATGCATAAATCGACTCAGAAAGTGATTCTATGCATACTATCGATTATTTTTGCCTGTTACAAACATATGCACAAACACATAATACCCTGCACCACAGTGTGGTGACTTAATAATATAAAAATACGAATAAAGAAGACTCATTCTCCTTGTTATTGACGAAATCACCACATGATTCCCTTAATATGAAGTCATATTGTGACACATCGTAAAAGCAAATTCTGCTTTTTTCGAACATAAAGTGGAGTTACATAGTTATGCGTGTATGTATATATATGTAGTGCATTTATTGAAGATATGATATGCTACAAAAGAGATATTAAATATAACAAGTTCGGCCTGGCCGAACTTGTGATACCCTCCACCATACGTATACTGACAGGTACTTGAAATGAAAATATAGGGAACATACCAAAAGGTGGATCTATACCGACTGATTATGTAAACCATAAAGTACAGAAATACAAATATCAGCAATTTTTAATGGATATTTATCCCCTCAGCCTTATGGCTAGTGAGGGTGTATACACTTTGATACGGTGGAAATGTGCCTCATCGAAATATTGGTTCTAGACCCCATGTTTTTTTTTCGACCAAATCTGTTTTAGAAAATTTGGATTTCGTCCAAAACTTTCACATCTTCTTATTTCTTCCAAACTTAGTTCAAGTTCGAAGATGGGGAACCACTCTTTCTGGTATATCCGACACAAAATGGTAAAAATTGTGCAAAAAATTAATTTTATAATGTCATGCGAACGGACCAATCTATTTGAACCAAACTTTGAATAACCTATTATATTAATCAAGCCTAGATCTTGTAGGAAAATAGGACCCATTGTTCCAGTCCAAAAATTTGTATGAGTACGTCCCTGGGGGCTATACCTTAAGCGGGACCAATGTTGATTGCATCGTGTAGGAATTAACGAACATATG